TAAAATAAAAAAAAGAGAACATGTTCAAAGGTTACTTTCCGATTCGATTGTTGTTGTTGGATCGGGGGCATTGAAATCGACTAAATATGTCACATAATACGGTTTAGACACGTCTTGTTCTTTATTCCTTTGTTCTGCTTTGCATATCAAGTGATTCGCTTTCTGATTCCCCAAAACTTCGTTGGGTATTTCTTTTTTTTTTTCGAAGTTCTGACAAAGCGGAATCGAACAAAAATTCCAGTCAAAAGACACGAAATGAAAAAGAAAGAGAAGCACAAGAAGAAGAAGCAACAGCAGCAGCAGATCGTATAATAAATAATTGTGTAGACCTGGGCATTGTTTTCTTTTCGTATTGTTTGGCTTCTCGCTTCGCTTCACTTCACTTCACTTCGCTTCTCTCTCCATCTCTCCGTCTCTCTGTCTCGCTCTTCGCCCTGGTGAATGACCGTTAACATTTTCGTGTTCGTCGCCAAAGAACCAGCTTACTGGTATGACAGGTTTCTCTACTCTCTGGCCCCTATTGAGTCGTCTTTTTGGCCATATCCATATTGAGATAGCCGACCAAGATAACCAGACCAAAAATAAAAATAACAATAAAATCAAATAAATGCAAGACTATAATAAAAAATGATAAGAAGTGTGAAGTCCTTTTATGGCAGCGAAACGATATTATTTGTCTTCCCATACAAACACTTTGAATTCCATCCAGAAATCATTTATCTTGACCCATCAGGTTAGTATAAATTTAGTTTGTAGATAGCATAGGGACAGCACATCATGTTTGAGTTGAATGTTTTCACATCTGAAATGAGAGAAATCAAAATCAATTTTTTTTTTCTTTTTGGCAAACTTACACTTATATAAAGCAGAGCACTAGATTTTTTAAGGGCTCTCGAGCTAAATTTTTTAAATATTTATGAGAAATATTTAAAGAAATAGAATTACGCAAAACTCATTCACGCTCTAAAAATAGCCTAATTTATTTGAATTTGGATTGGAACATCCCGAAAAGCTGTTAATCGAATACATAGGAGATAAATAGCTTACAGTAATTTACCACGATCTGAATGGAAATAAATAAATCTATATGAGTCCAGTTGTAATATATATTTCTTTACAACTATATATATATATAATTGTCTATAGTCGTATATGTTAGCTTGTATAGTCGTGATATAAGTCTCTAGTTATAATAGGACCCTAAACCATTTTTAAGTCTCAAAAGATATAGTCCATATAGGACATATATGTATGTATACAGACGAACTGATCATCAATGTTGTCTTATACAACCAAATGAGACTATATGCAAGTAAAATGCTGATGTCTGTTTAAGGTAAAAGCTTAGAGTTTTTTTGGGAACTAATCTAATTAGCAAAATGCTTTAATTAT